GAGAGTTTCCAGGCATACCTGCCATTGTCTGGCACTGGGAGCAAGCACATGCTCGTCAGAAACAGAGCTAGAGGCTGGGACAGACTCTCACATTGATGGTGGCCTTGTGCCTCTCACCTGGCCCCAGCTCAGGCCATTCCAGGAGCCTCCCAGTCCAACAGCGCCCAACTCTTTGGTTGTCCTAGTGTCCCAGTTGGAGGTCTGGAGGGCTGCATCTGTGTTGGGGAGGACAGCCACCCCCATCCCCAAGCATCTGCTTCTGCTAGCTAGGGGTGATGTCGACAAGGGACCTGCACCCAGCCCCAGGGGTGATGGACAGTGCCAGCGAGGTGTGAGTTCTGGATCCTGCCTAGAGACTAAGGATGATTGTCAAGCGTCCCTCACCCACCGCAGTTCCTAGGAAGGAGGGTGGAGACCATGTCCCACTGAGGCAGCGGAGGCCACGCCAGCTTGTGCTCTTGGGTATGACCCTGGGAAGGGGCCCCTTGCAGACTCTTCTCCCTGAGGGACTGACAATGACACGCAGGTGCCATTTGTCTGCCTGGAACAGTCTCCACCGTAAGACTGGCATCGTTCACTGGGGTAATTACTGGTTTGGGTTCGATTTCCATTCAAAACAGTCATCCCAGCCTGAGCCGGGTGTCAGATCTGAAGGTTGATTATTAGTAACATTTATCAACAGCCTCTCTCAGCTACAGGCAATTACAGCTAATCTGCTGCTCCTGCTCCCTGTCGCAGGGAACTGCCAGCCTCTTCCCTGCCCGCCCCCTCCATTCCCTGTTCCCCTCTCTCCTCCCCTCCCCTCCCCTAAGCAGCCAGCTCAAGGGAACCATCTTCTGAGTCACCGTCACCCTCACAGGCAGGGACCCACGTGCACACTGGGCACCTGGGCTCTTCATCGGCCGTCTTGGTGTTGCCGGGTCTCTGGAAGTCTGAATCCGACTCTGTCAGAACTGAGAGGAATCCCTGCTCCTTGTCCTATGACATATTTCCACCTGCAGCAGGGGCCCTCTTGCCCCTGACTCCTCTGTCCTCCCCTTCAGGCCCAAGACTAGCGTGAGGCGCGTGGGGCCTTTATTTACCTCAGGTACAAAATTTAGGGGGCCACTGAAAAGCTCAGTGATTGATGTAACTAAGATTTCAATACAATACTTTTGAAAATCAAAGTTAATGCAAAAACATCAAAGTTAATGCAAAAACAAAGTTAATGCAAAAAATGAAATCAGAATGTGAATAGAGGGTCTAACCCTTGATTGCAGGACTTGGCCTTACTGCCTCACATTGATTCCAGCGGCCCGGCCCCCGTAGGACCCTGACATTGTTTAAAATTTGGTTGTTGTGTGTATGGGGGGTATATTTCACATTCATTTCGACTTGAAATATTATCTTCAAAGACTCAGATGGCTGAGTCTTTTGGTACCTCATTCAGCTCCCCCTCCTTTCCTGTCAGGCCCTAACCCGTACTCCCTTCGTTTCTTCCTGTCTGCTGCCTCTGGTCAGGGCTCAGCTTCTCTCTGAGTGGGGCCCCAATCCTGGGCTGGCTTCCTGGTGCCCATCCTCTCCTCCATCCCTCAGGACTTGCTTCGGCCTTCAGACCCCTCCAAGAGGCCCGCAGGTTGCCATGGTAACTGCCAGTACCTGCAGCAGTCATGGGTGGACAGAACCTGGAGGTCTCCCTCCCATCCCATGATCGCATCCAGCCAGGGCTGGGTAAGTGCCTGCATGCCTGACAGAGTCCATGATGCGCGAATCTCAGAGGCAGCTCACACATTCTGTCCGTGTGTGGAGAGGGAGCGCGTCCCCTCTTTCGGAATCCGTCCCAGGGAGAGGACAGCATGGGGCTAAAGGAAGGCCATGAAGGTCTGTGACAGGGAGGTAGAGCCCTGAAATAAGTGTGGGTGTTGGCTACCAGGCTCCCGCAGAGGGCAGGCCTGCTTCCCTGAAGGCTTTCCTTTTGCAGAGCAGAAGCTGAGGGCTGACCCCCCTGCATGGAAGGCTGCCCACCCTCCCCTTGCCCTTCCCCCCCAAAACCCAGGCCAGGCTCAGCTTGCCTCAGGGCGAAACAAACATTTCAGGAAGATCAACATGGAAGGGGTGCCCAGGATGCCCAGTCCCCTCTGGGTCTTGGGGCATTGTCATGTCAAGGTCCAGAGCCAGGAAGTTCAGCCACTCTGTGTCCAGTTGCTGTCCCTGGAGGATGCCCGAGTGTCTCAGGAGAGTCTTGCTAGAAGCACTCCTGCAAGCTCCCTTCCCAGGCCTCCACAGCACCACAGAGTCTCTGTCACCTGGCCTGGCGGTCTGTCACCCAGCACCTCCTCTGCCACTTACTGAGCAAGTCACTTCCTCTCTGGGCCTCAGTTTCCTCTTGTGAGAAATATGGGTGATCGTGCCCTCTCTCGAGGGCTGTGCTTACCGGTAAGAGCTAACCTAGGTAACGGCGCTTTGACCTGGAAAGCACCGTGACAGATGGAGAAGTCACGCTCTGTGGGGCTCTGGAGGACAGAACTGGAACCAAAGGGAAGTGTGTTTGGGTTGAAGTGAAGAAGAAATCTCTAACACCCAAGATGGAGGGACCACTCTAGAAGGTGTGAGCGCTCTGAGGCTGGAAATGTGCGTGGAGGGGTTTATCACTTGTCCATCAGCTTAGCTTCCAGGGACTTCCTGCCCCGAGTGTGACCTCGATTGTGACTTCTCCCAGCGTGTCCGGAAGCCACCCCAACACCAACCCCACCTCCACCCCCATCATCCTAGAGGTGAGGACGCTGGCTTCACTGGCTTTTTCCTGTTGCATATTCCTGCTGTTGCCTTCCTGTATGGACCAGTGTAGAAACCAGAGAACTTGAGTGGGAATGAGAACAGGAGGACCTTGTGTCTGAAGAAGTACTGACCTAAGCATGGGTTTGAGATGCCCTCAGACTGGAAAGTTCTCTTCTGCCTGCAATAGGACAGAAGACATCTGAAAGAGAAGTTAGGAGAGATGGAGGGATGGGGTCTCGAGCTCCAGACGGGCACACACATTATGTTCCCCTGCCTGAAAATTGCCCCATGCTGCACATCTGCGCACAAACCCTACGTGCTAACTTCCTCACACGGGCTTTGGAAAGAGCCATAGGCATGGAGTTGGGAGACCTGTCTTGGAGCGTCCTCCCTCTGAGCCTGATTTTTCCATCTGTGACATGACGGGGAGGAGTTGAGGTGCCCTCTCAGCTGATGGTCTGGGATCTCTAGCTTTCTGGAGCCCATGAGAGTTGCATCTCCTCCGTGGCCCCTTATGGTATCTACATGAGTCTCTGTCTGTCTGCTGGGCAGACCTCTAGGGGCCGAGATTTTCAGATCTAGTCAGAGTGAGGTCAGCAATGTCCAGTTTTGCATCTAGACATCATTTTCCCCTTAGAAGTTTGAAATTACATCCCAAAGATTCCTCATTATCGATCTAGGCACCTCATTGAAAGTCTGGGTATCATTTTTGCGAGAATATGGCCAGGGATGGGCAAGAAAGGGGAAGTGGAGTGGTGGAGGTAGGGGAGAGAGGAGAGGTGATTTGATCCGGGAGTTAGCGTGGGCACCTGGTCTAAGACGGTTGGAGGGGTCTGCCGGGCTTGGGCAGAGTACATGGGCTTAGCTTCTGTCCTGAGGCAGCAGGGAGATTCTAAAGGGTTTAAGCAGGGTCTGGAGACAGGATCAGATTTGCGTTTAGAACTTTTACTCTCGTGCCAGTGGAGGAGGGCCTTGAGGGGAGCAAATTGGAGACAGACACTGTCCTGAAGCCAAGATCTGAGCAACAGGGATGCCCTCCTGAAAATGTGGACCTAGGGAAGGGAGTAAACAGATGGCTGACATCAAAAGGGCTTCATGGTTGCAGGCCTGGGTGGGGAAGATGGAAGGAAAAAGCAGGAAGCTATGCTGGCGCCTTGAGGGCCTGCTGTGTCACTCACGGGCAGATGGAGATGGAGCAGATAAGATAAATCTTATGTAAAAGATAAGATTCACTGGAAGTCCTAAGCAGCATACCTCAGTTGTGAGCTGCTTCACCGGGACACTTCACTGGGAAGTGTCCAGAGAGCAGGTGGATAGAGGGTTCTGGAATTTAGGAGAGGAGAGGGCCCACCATGAAGGCATGGACATTCTTAGGCTATGGGACGTGGGGGCGCCTGGGTGGCTCAGTTGGTTGAGCATCCGACTCTTGACTGGGGTTCATATCATGGTCTCAGGGGTATGAGGTCGAGCCCCCATCAGGCTCTGTGCTGAGTGTGGAGCTTGCTTCAGATTCTCTCTCTCTCCCTCCTCCAACATATGCTCTCTCTCCCACTTTCCCTCTCTCTTCTTTCTCTGTCTCTCAAAAAAAAGGGGGGGGGTTGTGGGAGGTGAAGCCCTGTGAGGGGGAAGATCACTCAGGTGCCTCTTAGGGGGAGGGGGAGGACAAGAGGCTAAGGACACAGATACCCCATCAGTCTCTCAAAGACGCACCAGCGCAGAGCCGGCTACCAACCCAAGGCAGGCCACAGAGAGCACAGGGAATGTGTTTTCTGGCTGTGGTTCCTCCAGATGGGGACTTTGTCCTCAGGGCACCTGGCTCTGCCTGAGTTGCTATAGTAACCATGGATGTAGGCGTACAGGGTCTCTGTGTTGCCATGGAAACAAGCAGCTGGGTGTCCCTGAGTGGCATGGCCACTGAGGCCTTGGGGATTCAGGCTGGTCTTGAAGGGATTGGGAGGGGACCTGTGACCAGCTGAGAGGGTTTCTGTGTCCCAGTGAATCCTCGATGGCTGTTGTTAGTGTGACCGTTGCCATGGTGATGGAGGGAGACACCCAGGTGGCTTGTGGCAGCTTCAGTGGGGAGCTGAGTAGTAGAAGGAATGGCAACAGGCCCCACGTCTTCACGTGCAGCATGAAGCAGCACCAGCCTCTGGACTCTCCCAGCCTCTGGCTGCCATGGAGGGCAGGACCCTCTGCTTTCTTCCTGGGTTTGCACCGTTTTGCCGAGACAGGGGTTTTGTTCCCAGGAGGAACTCCCCGGCCCATGGGATCTCAGCATTCAAAGCGACACAGGAAGGCTGGGCCCCTGAAACGGGGCCACCGAGGAGATCGGTAAGCATTCGGCACCCCTGCCTTTAGCCCAAGGACCCCACCCTTGGGTCCACCCTGCCCACCCACCCTCATGGACCTCACCCCTTCCCCGTCACCACATGGGGTCCCGCAGTCCTCCCACAGCCTCAGGCTCTAGACAGGAGAACAGGGAGGCTCTGCTCCTCCTGCCCCAGATCGGAGAGGTTTCCTCCATCATGGGAGCGAGGCCTCGGCCCTTGGCAGCTCTGCACTCCTGCCCTCTGTCTCTTCTGGTGGGTTCCTCTTCCCAGTCTCCACCTGGCCCCCCTGCTTTGTCCCCAGCTCTGCTCATTACTGTCCTCATTCTGGGCTGCCTGCTTGCTGTCCCAGAGCACCCCCAACCTGATCCCATTGGCTTCCCAGCTGAAGTGGCCAAGACCAAGGCCCTGAGAGAGACCTTGAGTGACCATTGTCTGGGCAGGCAAGGGGCAGGAATGAAGAAGGGAGGCAACAAGGGCGGGGAGTCACCCCTTCTTTTCCCCCTCAGGAGAACAACCAGGAGGAAGTACTGGAAGGAAGGAAGGGAGATCGCTCGGTGAGCTGGCAGGGGAAGAGGGAGCGCTGGCTGGGAGAGGGCCATTCACAGGAGACTCAAGGGAGGTGGAGGGGAGAACATGGGCAGCTCTGTGGCCATGGACCCCATACATGCTGGGGGTGTTTGGGAAATAGGGCCTAGGGGAGGTGTGACCCCAGGCAAAGGCCATACTCACTATGGCTCTTATGAGCTTTGTTTGTTCCTCTTAGATCCCTCTGTGGTCCTTCTGCCCTACTCCAGCCAGGTAGTGCTGCCCAGAGTCCCAGGCTCTGCTCCCCAGCCTATCCTGGGACTCCGGGCCAGGCCTTCCCCAGAGAGCAGGTGTCCTCAAGCTGTGGCCCAGGACCACTGAGGGAATTCCTTCCCGCTGTCCACATACCCAGCCCCCCATGTGACTTGCACCAGGCTGGAAACCCGAGCTTGTCTTCTACAGTCACAAAGTGGGTCTTTCCCAAGACTCCTAAGAGGACCTCATTTGTTCTTCACTGATGTCAAGGGCTCTAGGATGTATCATTGGCCCAAAGGATAGGCAGAAACAGCTACCTTGTGTAGGAGGGGGCTCAGTCCTGGGTACACATGAGGCAACATGATGGGGTCCCCTCACCAGCTGAAGCGTGGGGTGCTGAGGGTTCCTGGTACCTGAGGGCTCTGCCTGCCTTCCAGGGACCTGACCAGAGAAATATGGGGGCATCTGGAGTTCTCATGAATGTTGGGCTTGGGCTTCTGATGGGGCTTGTGACGAATGTGCCCTAAAAGGGAAGCTCTGTGGAGAGCCATGGGTCTCTGGTATGGCTGCATGGCTGGGGCCTCCTGTGTTCTCCTTTTCAAAACAGAGCCTCAAACCAGGTTGACCTTTTAGCCTAAAGAAAATCTGATGAAGAGAAAGATGGGAGGCATGGGGGAGGGGTGCCACTTGAGTTTACTTCAGAGGCTCTCAGGAAGGAGGAGGAGGAGGGATGCAGGGAGTGAACCCCAGAGGGTTGCCTCTGTGTATAACTGTCATGAAGCTTGACGACCTCTGCTCATTTGTCTCCTGCAGCTCTTACCTTCTGAGCGCTGTGAGCTGATGAGCGTCTCCTTCCTCCACCCCGCCCCCGTAGACCAGCAAGACTGCAAGTCTTTGAGATCCCACTGCCCTTGTTGAACAGGCAAACAGAGGCCCCAGGGCAGGGTCACACTGCAAGTTCATGGCAGAGTCAGGACTAGAACCCAGGCCCCCTACTCAAGGCTCTTTCTCTTCACTGAGGGCCAAAGAGCCAGCTTGCTGGATGGGAGTCCAGGGGCTTACTGGGAGTGTGTGGTCTTTTGGTTATCACCTTGCTTCTAGTGGACGGAGGCTGTGAGCATGCTGTGATGTGACTATGTATCTGGCTGATGGCTAGCTGGTGAGTGCTCCTGGCAATCCTGGGTTTCTAGGAATCAGTGCCTCATGACCCGGGCTCTCAACACCATTCCGGCTCTTCCGTGTTTAAAGGCCCTGCCAGTATCCCTTAAAACCTGTGTGATTCAAGATGGTGCCAAGAAGCGTGATGGTTCACGCGTGGCCAGTCCTAGAATGGTACACGGGGCTGTAACTAGATGGAGAAGGGAGGGGAGGAGCTGGGCAGCCTCGAGGATGAAGGCCGAGTTATAAGGCTGTATCTCTGCAGGCTGGGAATAGTCATAATTAAGGGCAAAGTTAGATGATCCAGCCATGTAAGGACCCAGACAGAAAAGGGATTTTGTCACAGAGTTTTTGTCCTAGGTTCTACCATCATACCAGGGGCTTCCATGCCTATGAAGACAGTCCTCCAAACCCTGGCTTCTGAGCTACTTGTTGCTTCAACTCACCGACTGTCAACGTCTATTTCAGCAACCCATGACCATGATCTGGTCATCATTTGAAACCATTCCACCTCTGAAGTTTTAATCTCTGTGTACCTCCTATGTGCTCTGTCTCCCTTGCCTCTACCATATCTGTTCATAGAAACCTTTAGGCTCCTACCTCTTACTTTCCCCCTCCCCCCAAATCAGCTTTTGTTCCCCTCCAATCTGGACACTATGGCCTGTTACTTGAACTGTTCACCATTCACCACCTGGCCCCATAGCCTCCCACCCCATCCCTAGAACGTGGTAACTGCCTGCTAAGCCAGTCCTGGTATATAGGGCTGAGATGGGGGCGAGGTGGGAATCCTTTTATGAATTGACACTGGTCCAACTTCATGGTCCATAGATGAGACCCCAGCAGTGCCCAGCAGGCCCGCTGTCTACATCTACTCCAACCACACACTCCCCACCCCCGCCCAGCTATTTCAGAGCTCTCACATACCCCTCTGCTTTTCCATACCACAGCTTCCCCAATCACCCCCAGCAGCTGACCTAGACTCTCTTTATAAGGAAAAGAAGACTTACCAGGGGGTAATTTCTTTAACTTCTGCCCTGGGCTCCAAACTGACCTGCATCCATGGCCATCCATGCCTCTGGCCCTATTATACTGAGAGGGAGCTCCTATTCCAGTTAGCCTCTCCACCAGAGATCTGGTAACTCTCCCCTTCACCCCCACCCAAAGAACCCCCTGCTCATTCCTTGTCCCCTGGATCTTCATCGTCTCCACTCTCCTAGCTCCTTCCATTGTAACTCAGTTAAGAAACAAAACAAAAATACCTTGATTTTACAACCTCCCTTGTCACCACCTACTCTTTTCAGCCAAGCCTGTTGAAATAAAAATCTGGGTTTATTATCTCCATCTCCTCAACTCCTGCTCAGTCCACTGGCTTCTGTTCCCACTATCCACCCATTTCTCATGCCCATGTCTCTAGTGATTCTTTCCATAAATCTTGCTACAGCCTGTGAGGTCCTGGTTCATCTCAGCAGCATTTGATGTAGCTGAGCACACTCTGCCTTTTGAAGCATGCTTCTCTTGGGTTCCATGACCTCCCACTCCTTTTCTGCCTCCTATTCTGATAGTCATTTCTCTATTTGCTTCTTAAGGGTTTCTTCTTCTGTTCACCCTAACAGTGCTGAAGTGGCCCAGCATTCTGTCCTGCTGTCTTTTCTCTCTTACACTTGTTTCTGCTAATCTAACTGGTAGCCATGGCTTCAACTTCCATCTCTAAGCTGATGACTATAGCTACCACCGAGACATTTCCCCTCCATTTCTTTTTTTCTTTTTAAATCTATTACCTTCTGCAATATGTGTTTTGAAGCTCTGTTCTTAGATGTATAAACATTTAAGGTTGTTATATCTTCTCAAGAAGTTAATCCCTTCATTAATATGAAATGTTCTTCATCTCTGGTAATAATTCCAGTTGGTCTGTGTAATCACTGTGGCTTTCTGTTGACTAGTATTTGCATGGCATATCTTTTCCTATCCTTGTATGTTTAATCTCCCTGACTTCACATTTTAAAAGGTCTTTTTTTTTTAGAAAACATGTAATTGTGTTATTTTTATCTGATTTGACAAATTTGACTTTTTAATTGAAGTATTTAGACCATTTACATTTAATGTTGTTATCAATATGGTTGATATCTTGCCATTGGTATTTTATTTGTCCTACTTATTCTTTGCTCCTTTGTCTTCTTTTTTTTTTTGCTTTCTTTTAGATTGGGTGGGGGGGATTGGTGAATCTATTTTCATAATCTCCAATCTTAGCTTATTAGTCATAAATCTTCTTTTGTTTGTTTTTATTAGTGGTTGCTTAGTGTTTGCGTTATACATCTTCAACCTTAAAATAATATACCACTCATGAGTATCATTGAGAACCTTAGAACAGTACACTTTACTCCTCCTTTCTTTCTTTTGAGCTATTGTCATGCTTTTTGCTTTTAGCTATGATATACACCCAACAATACCTTTTTTTTTTTTTTTTGCTTTAAACAGGCAATGGTCTCTTTTTTAAAAAATAACATCTTTCTTGGGATGGATTTCACATACCATAGAATTCACCCATATGTAGTATACAGATCAATGGGTTTTAGGTTGTGCAGCCATCACTACAATCAGTTTTAGAACATTTTAATTATCTCTTCCCCCCCAAAAAGCTGCATATCCATCAGCTGACACACCCCTTTCTTCTACCCACCCCCAGCCATAGGCTACTGCTAACTTATTTTCTCTACAGATTTGCCTATTATGGACATTTCATATGAATGAAATCACATAAGATGTGGTCTTTGTGACTAGCTTCTTTCATTAGCAGAATGTTTTCAGGACTCATCTGTGTTGTATTACATCTCAATAGTTCATTTCGTGGGGCACCTGGGTGGCTCAGTTGGCTAAGCAGCTGCCTTTGGCTCAGGTCATGGTCTCAGGGTCCTGGGATTGAGCCCTGATTCGGGCTCCCTGCTCAGCAGAGAGCCTGCTTCTCCCTCTCTGCCTGCCACTCTGCTTACCTGTGTGCGTGCGCGCTCTCTCTCTCTCTCTTTCTGTCAAATAAATAAATAAAATCTTTTTAAAAAAATCATTCAATTCTTTTCATTGCCAAGTAATATTCCGTTGTATGGGCACACACATTTTGTTTACCCATTCATCGACTGATGGATATTAGGATTTGCTATTATAAATGATGTTACTGTGAAAATCTGTGGACACATTTCATTTCTCTTGGGTATATACCTGGAAGTAGAACTTCTGGGAATCTAATGTTCAGCCTTTTGAGGAATTGCCAGGCTGTTTTCCAAAGTGGCTGCACCATTTCACATACCCACCAGCAATGTATGAGGTTTCTAATTTCTCTATAAGTGTTTTATTTGTGGTTTTTATTATAGCTATCCTAGTGAGTGTGAAGTGGTATCTCATTGTGGTTCTGACTTCTGTTTCCCTGATGACTAATAATGACCAGTGATGTGCCTACGGCCATTTGTATATCTTTGGCAAAATGTCTATTCTGATCCTTTGCCCATTTTTAAAATGGGTCATTTGTCTTTTTATTACTGAGTTGTAACCATTTGTTAGGTATTCTAGGTACAAGTCCATTATCAGATAATGATTTGCAAATGTTTTATCGAATTCCATGGCTTATCTTTTCACTTTCTCCATGGTGTCCTTTGCAACACAAAAGTTTTAAATTTTGATAAAATCTAATTTATCTATTTTTTCTATTGCTGCTTGTGCTTTTGATGTCCTATCTAAGAAATCATTGCTTAATCCAAGGTCACAAAGATTTGTGCCTATGTTTTCTACTAAGAGTTTTACAGTTGTAGTGCTTACATTTAGGTCTTTGATTCATTTTGAGTTAATTTTTTATAGAGTATGAGGTAGAGGGTGCCAAGTCTTTCTCATTTTAGATACTCAGTTGTCCCAGTACCATTTGCTGAAAAAACTGTTCTTTCCACCATTATATGGTCTTGGCATCCTTGCCAAAAATCGATTGATTTATAAATGTGAGTTTATTCTTGGGCTCTCCATGTACTGCCTCAATTTATGTGTCTGTCCTTATACCAATACCACACTATCTTGATAATTGTAGCTATGTTGTAAGTTTTTGAAGTCAGGAAGTGTGAGCGCTCCAGATTCGTCCTTTCTAAAGATTGTTTTGGCTATGCTGGCTCCCTTGAGTTTCCATATGATTTTAGAATCAGCTTGTCAATTTCTGACAGAGAAACTAGCTTATATCCTGATATGGATTGTGTTTAATCTGTAGATCAATTTGGGATGTATCCCTATCTTGAAAATATTTAAACTTCTGTTCCATAAACACAGGATGCCTTTTTATTTATTTGGGTCTACTTTACAATGGAAACTACAAATTTTTTTGAAAGAAAGTAAAGTCTTGCACTTCTTTTTTAAAATTTATTCCCAAATATTTTATTCTTTTTGATTTTTTTTAAAAAATATTTTATTTATTTGACAGAGAGAAATCACAACTAGGCAGAGAGGCAGGCAGAGAGAGAGGAGGAAGCAGGGTTCCTGCGGAGCAGAGAGCCCAATGCGGGGCTTGATCCCAGGACCCTGGGATCATGACCTGAGCCGAAGGCAGAGGCTTTAACCCACTGAGCCACCCAGGCGCCCCCTTTTTGATGTTTTTGCAAATTGTTTTCTTAATTTCATTTTTTGGATCATTCACTGTGGTTGTATAGAAATATAACTGATCTGTATCCTGTAAGCTTGTGGAACTTGTTCATTCGTTCTAATAGTTTTTTGGTAGATACCTTAGATCTTCTTTATACAAAATCTTGTCTTCAGTGAATACAGATAGTTTTCCTTCTTCTTTTTTAATCTGATGCCTTGTATTTTATTGTCTTGCCTAATCATCTTGGCTAGAACCTCCAGTACAATGTCAAGTAGCTATGTCAAGAACGAGCATCCTTGGTTTGGTCTTAGGTGTGGATAATGCATTCAGTCTTTCACTATTAAGTAGGATTTCAGTTGTTGGTTTTTCATAGGTGCCTCTTTTCAGGTTGAGAAAATCCCTTTCTATTCCTGGTTTGTTGTATGATTTTATCATGAAGAGGTATTGAATTTTTTCAAATGCTTTTTCTGCATCTCCTAGACAATTATGTGATTTTTCTCCTTTTTTTTTCTGTTGATACTGTATATCATATTAAGACTGATTTTTAAATCAGTCTGACACAGTTTTTAGATTGGTTCTGACACAGTTAAATTATTTTTAGATAAGTCACCTTTGCATCCCCAGAATAAGTTCTACTTGATCAAGATGTATAATCCTTTTTTCCATGTTGCTGGATTCAGGGTTTTGTTTTGTTTTTTTAATGAGAAAAAGTTTTCATGGGTACCTACATATTTACCATTTCCAATGCTCTTCATATGTGTATGTAAATTATCCTCTAGTATCATTTTCCTTTTCCTTGAAGGACTTATTTTAACATTCCTTATAGTGCTGATCTGCTGGTATTGCATTCTCTCAGATTTTATTGGTATGAAACAGGTTTTATCTTTTTTCCTTTTTGAAATCTACTTTGACCAGAAATAGAGTTAAAATTGACAGGGC